TCCCAAAGCCCCGGAGATCCCGAGAAGTAAAATTCCCGAGCCGAAGCTCTGCCCGCGAGGAGCCCGGTTTTTGTGAAGATCTTCCGGATCTGCCGAAGAATACTACTTCTACAAGCCGTAGTGCTGTCCGATCATCTTCTGATCAAGTGAGTGTGTAGTCACTTTCTTCTAACGCATAATTATGAAGTATTTTATACGAAATACGTGTTATGTGTATATTTTGTTGTTATATGTGTGAATGTATATTCACTTTCTTCTATCTCATAGATATGATTTATTGTCTATGAAATTCGTGTTACGTGTATGTGCCTCATCTGTTGTTTGGAATATGTATTGAATGAGAATGCTATACAGGTTTTAAACTATGTATAAAAATATATATTTTTATCTACTAATATGTTGGGTAGAACATGGGTAGATAGTTGATGTGTGATAAACAGATGAGAGGCCTCAATGTTGTTTTTGATTCAGTCATCTAGCGGAGTTTAGATGACGACCACGGACTTTTCTAGACAGTCCTGTGGAACGCTAGCAGGCTCGCCACATGTAGGTGTTAATGAACTTGGGTGTTCATTCGCTGTACTCCATCCCCCTCATGGTTGCCTTATTTCACATATATTGCTGGGAAACCCCCGAATGCATGTGTTGTCGCCCCGATGAAATATTCCAAGACTAGGTCCCTTGTGTTAGTTGTTTTAGGGACGTAAAGTGAGAATAATGGGAATGGGTAATTGGGTTATTGTTGGTTGATGAAATTAAAATAATTATTTATTGTGGGTTGAAAACCCTATATGCTCACCAGGCTCCCAAGCCTGACCCACTCAGTTTCTTTGTATTACAGGTAGTGGCGCCAGAGCATAAGTTGTATGACTTGTCAAGTTATTTTTTTTTGGATTATAGACCTGTTGTTGTAAATAACTGTTGTAAGGTCTGTATTGAAATGTTTATGCTTTTGGTCTGTTTATCGGAACATCACATCCCGAGTATTGTAATATAATGAAAAATACATTTCTTTACGAAATGCTTTGGTAAATCTTATTTTTATCATATTTTGTTTTGGGAACAAATTCCGCAACTCTTTTAAATCAAAAGGATTTACTATGAAATTATTTTAAAAGCATAAATGAAACCGGTCTTTTCTGGCCGTGATTTTGGGGATGTCACATATGTTGCTTATGTCACGGACACCCGGGATAAGGGTAAGACGACAGTCGACGATGTGCCAGTAGTACGAGAGTACCCAGACGTATTCCCAGAGGACTTGCCTGGAATACCTCCGGAGAGACAGGTTGAATTTTGGATTGATCTGGTTCCTGGTGCGGTTCCGATAGCCAAGGCACCGTATCGGTTGGCTCCTCCTGAGATGCAGGAGTTGTCTATGCAGCTGCAAGAGCTGCTAGACAAGGGTTTTATCAGACCGAGAAGTTCACCATGGGGAGCCCCGATCCTGTTTGTGAAGAAGAAGGACGGGTCGCACCGCATGTGCATTGATTACCGGGAGCTGAATAAGGTAACGGTGAAGAACCGTTACCCACTCCCGAGGATAGATGATTTGTTCGATCAGCTTCAGGGAGCGTCTTGGTTTTCCAAGATTGATTTACGGTCCGGGTATCACCAGATGCGGGTCAGAGAGGATGATGTGCAGAAGACCGCTTTTAGGACCCGCTATGGTCATTATGAGTTCGTGGTGATGCCGTTTGGACTCACCAACACTCCAGCCGCATTCATGGACCTCATGAACCGTGTGTGCAGGACGATGCTGGATCGGTCTGTGATAATGTTCATTGATGATATCTTGGTGTATTCCAAGACTCAGGAGCAGCATGAGGAGCACTTGAGGGAGGTGCTTGAGACCTTGAGGAGGGAGAGACTTTTCGCAAAGTTCTCCAAGTGCGAGTTCTGGTTGCACGAGGTGCAGTTTCTGGGGCACCTTGTCAACCAGAAGGGTATACTAGTAGATCTGGCCAAGATTGAGGCCGTGATGCAGTCGGAGGTCCCGAGGTCTCCATCCGAGATTCGGAGCTTCCTGGTCCTGGCAGGGCACTACAGGAGATTCATCCAGGATTTCTCCAAGATAGTAGTACCATTGACCCGACTGACCAAGAAGTCGGTAGTGTTTCGCTGGGGTCCTGAGCAGCAGGCAACCTTTGAGACGCTCAGGCAGCGACTGTGCGAGGCACCGATTCTTACCCTGCCAGAGGGAGTAGATGACTTTGTAGTCTACTGTGACGCTTCGACCACAGGTATGGGAGCAGTGCTGATGCAGCGGGGGCATGTGATAGCCTATGCCTCGAGACAGTTGAAGCCTCACGAGGCTAACTACCCGACACATGATTTGGAGTTGGGGGCTATACTATTCGCCCTCAAGATTTGGCGGCATTACCTCTATAGGGTCCGATGTACTATTTACACGGACCACAAAAGTTTGAGGTACCTCATGGATCAGCCGAATCTGAACATGAGGCAGCGTCGGTGGTTAGACGTGGTAAAGGCTTACGATTGTGAGATCCTCTACCACCCGTGCAAGGCCAACGTAGTGGCCAACGCCCTGAGCCGCAAGGCGGTAGCAGCTCCGATTCGAGATATCTGCTTGAGGATGACAGTAGTTACTCCACTGTTGGAGAAGATTAGGGAGGCGCAGGTCGAGGGCCTGAAGGAGGAGCGCCAGAAGTGCGAGAGGATAGTCGGCCGAGTGGCTTCATTTGATTATGACATTCGGGGATTGTTGACCCTGCATGGGAGGGTCTGGGTACCGTACTGGGGAGGAGTACGGCAAGTGTTGATGGATGAGACTCACAAGTCTCGGTTCTCCATCCACCCCGGGGCGAAGAAGATGTACAGGGATCTTCGCCCAGATTATTGGTGGCCCTGCATGAAGCGGGACGTCGCCTGGTACGTTGAGAGGTGCCTGACCTGCAGGAAGGTCAAGGCGGAACACCAGAGGCCGCACGACAAGATGCAGCCGTTGGATATTCCCGTATGGAAATGGGAGGATATCACTATGAATTTTATTACAAAGCTTCCCAGGACCACACGTGGGGTTGATTCGATATGGGTCATCGTGGATCGATTGACCAAGAGCGCTCACTTTATACCTATCCAGGAGAGTATCTCGGCCAAGAAGTTGGCCGAGATTTACGTGCGAAAGGCAGTGGCACGTCATGGAGTGCCTGTCTCAGTGGTGTCAGACCGAGATGTCCGGTTTACTTCCAGATTTTGGAAGCGGTTTCACGACGAGATGGGTACTCGTCTCCATTTCAGCACCGCTTTCCATCCTCAGACTGACGGGCAGAGCGAGAGGACGATTCATACTCTCGAGGACATGCTTCGGGCATGTGTGCTAGACTTCGGTGGCAGTTGGGATACGTATCTTCCGTTAGCAGAGTTTTCGTATAACAACAGCTACCACTCCAGTATAGACCGACCTCCCTTCGAGATGCTCTATGGGAGGAAGTGTAGGACCCCAATCTGTTGGGGTGAGGTCAGTTAGTGAGTCATGGGGAGTACAGAGGTGGTACTCAAGACTACAGAGCGGATTCAGCAAGTCCGGAGCAGGCTCCAGACTGCTCAGAGTCGGCAGAAGAGTTACTGTTGGGATTAAAACCCTAATTGTGATTTGATGAACAAGATGCAGAAAATAAGAACAAACACAAATAAAGAAGATATGTCGAATGATCACTCGATTTATTCAAAACATGAGGAATAAATTACACTTTCAGCATAGACTAAAGAATCTAACAATACATAAGAAACCTCACAATGTGGCGGCTACATTTTGCCTCACTCTTAACCCTAATAATGAATAATACATGACTATTTATAGGGAAAAGACAAGTCTTGGGCTTTTAACCTACACTTCATCAAGGGGCCCATTGCCATCATCCATGGAGTGCTTTGAAACCCTACAATCTCCCCCCTCAAAGTATGGAATGGATGACAATGCTTTAACTTCCAAAACAAGCATCTAGCAAATAAATTGATCTTGCAACGAGAAATAGATGAAGCAATCCACAAATCTTGATTTTTCAATAGTCTTCAAACACGGGCTCTAGGATATATAAATCAAGCACTGAAGTAATGTCTTTAAACTTCATTTTCGAATGTAATCCTAAAAAAATCTTCATGAAAACCAAACCCGCCATAAAAACCCATTTCAGAACAAAGAAACCAAATCACTTCTTGTCTTTGAAGAGCTCCCCCTCCAAGTCACAATGATCTTCAAATAAGCTAATGATATAAGCCACCAAAAATTATCATGTAAGAACTTCTACTGTAAAGGATACTTCTCTGTAAAAGCTTTAGCAGAGCTCGATGAAGAACTTCTACTGTAAAAGCTACCTTCATAATTCTACCACAAGCTTTATCAAAAATCTTCAACTTTGAAAAGTCACAAATCCAATTTCGAATGGCCATACCAAATTCTCCCCCGATTTATAATCGAAAACGTGATTATAAAGCCTTCAAATGGTCATGAGAATCATCTTGAATGGATAAAAAAATTACTGTGCTGCCCCGCGACAAAATGATATATACAGTGAAGTATAAAATCCAAAATAGTCGAGAAAATTTGACGTTATCACGAAAAACGACTTTCCGAACCGCCAAGACTTGATGAAATCTTTAATTTTTCTGTTCACGAAAAAATATGTGCGTTAAAAAATCCAAAACTATTCACCAGCCCTCAAATTTGTAAACTTTTCTGAATATTGGGCAGAACTGTCACTTGCTGAAAGACAGGGGCTGGAATGGTAATTCAGCATCAATATACCCCTTTATTTGTAACAAAATCTGGAAATGGTCCAAAACTGCCAAGGCATGAAAAGTATAGGGACCAGATCGTCAAATTCTTGAAGTTGCAGGGACCAAGTGGGAAACTTTGAGTTATCTTCTTCCCTGCAGCGACTGATAAAAGAAGAAACGATACCACCACTATTTGTTCAATCGGTCCGAGCACAAGCAACCGAAACCAAGTTCGGTCCAAGATTGTTGATACAAAAACCATGTTCGGTCCGAAATCCAATAGTGCCATCGTTCGTTCCAAGTGCTTTCGTTCCAAGTGCTACCAACCGAACTCAAGTTCATTCCCGGTTCTTTCCAAGTCCATTGATACAAAAGCGAAACCAAGCATCACGATGCGAACAAGGAGCGAAACCTTAGCCGAGCCGAACCACAAGTTCGCTTTCGTTCTCCCCTCTTTCGTTCCATGTTTTAACAAACAAACCCAATATAGTTCTAGGCTCGTTCCGAGTCCGTCGATCAAAGCGAATCCACGTCAACGAACGTTAGAGCTAGCCCAGAAATCAATTCCAAGTCCTTTCGCTCCGAATCAATCTCACAAATGTACGTTCGATCGTTCACAGGTAAGGTAATTTTGACTTTCGTTTGACCGTTGTTCTTCCCGATCGAGTTTTGATTCCAAACATCACTCTACTGATTGCGAATTCATTTGTTTTGATTATATGAAGCCCCAAAAGTAAAACCCATTTAGCGATTGTGAACCTGTCTTCAAATCAATTCCGATCAACAACCCACTGTTCTTCGTTTATATAAATCGATTTTGACTTTCAGGTCTGACTTGACAATTGTGAATAAGCACACAATCAGCCCAAGTTCGTTCACATGCCTCTACCAATTACAATTTCAATTACGAACGTAGAAAGCCCATTTGCCCCAATTTTGACATTTTGCTTGACTCACAAGAACAACGACTTAATCATTTCAGTTAAAATCCAATCCCGATATCATTCGTTCTAAACATTACATCGCTGATTGTAGTCACAATTTTGATTTTGACTATTTCGTATTGACCACCAAAAACACCATTTTAATCGATTCCAGATCAATAACCATATTATTCATCAGTTCTTCAAAGAACGAATATGAACTCCAAACCAAGAATCATCACCATCATAGTTCCAATATCGAAAAGAAAATCAATTTTCTAACAGTAATTATCTTTGAAATCAATTGAATAGAGAATGAATCTTGAATAAGTATCAAAGGTTCAATAACATCAAAGAACAATATTGTATTCAAAAGCACAATCAATGATAACATGAAACTATCATCAATCGTCAAATGACGAAACACACAACGGATTCAATCACCAGATCGATTTGTAAATTAAACCATTAGATTAGTCGATCGTGGTAAAGAACAAGTGACATTAAGTACTTGAACTGAAATCAATATAAATGGGCCTAAAATGCATGAACAGTAGACGAAATAAATTGTGCTTAAGAACACAAGATCGACTTGAATAAAAAAATATTTGGCTTAAACAAGTGAACTAGATCTGGGAAGAAATCGAATAACCTTGAATTGAACAATTGATCAGATCGGAACATAACATACCCAGATAAACAGTGATGAACAGTAACATAATTCCCCATGAACAGTTGCTTGAACAGAATTTTGATTCCAAAATGCCAAAACACCAATGATCTTCAATAACTTGTGCCGAAAATCATCAAATCAAGAACCGATACTTCAAAAATCAATAGATTTTCAAAGACCCGCTCTGATACCACTTGTTGGGATTAAAACCCTAATTGTGATTTCATGAACAAGATGCGGAAAATAAGAACAAACACAAATAAAGAAGATATGTCGAATGATCACTCGATTTATTCAAAACATGAGGAATAAATTACACTTTCAGCATAGACTAAAGAATCTAACACTACATAAGAAACCTTACAACGTGGCTGCTACATTTTGCCTCACTCTTAACCCTAATAATGAATAATACATGACTATTTATAGGGAAAAGACAAGTCTTGGGGTTTTAACCTACACTTCATCAAGGGGCCCATTGCCATCATCCATGGAGTGCTTTGAAACCCTACAGTTACGCCGACAAGCGGCGTTCGGACTTGGAGTTTCAGGTGGGTGATATGGTCCTCCTGAAGGTGTCACCCTGGAAGGGTGTTATCAGATTTCGGAAGCGGGGCAAGCTGGGCTCCAGGTTCATTGGTCCGTTTAGGGTTTTGGCCCGGGTGGGTCGGGTTGCTTATCGACTAGATCTCCCAGCAGAGCTCAGCCAGATCCACAACACTTTCCATGTTTCTCAGTTGCGGAAGTACTTGGCGGATGAGTCAGCAGTTGTACCTTTGGAGGATATTCAGGTTGATGATAGCCTGAATTACATCGAGAGACCCACTGTGGTCTTGGATCGGAAGACGAAGACCTTGAGGAACAAGGTGGTCCAGCTAGTGAAGGTGCAGTGGCAGCACCGTAAAGGTTCGGAGTGGACATGGGAGCCGGAGGAGGAGATGAGGGAGCACTATCCAGAGATGTTTACAGAGGCAGCAGACTTCGAGGACGAAGTCTAAGATAAGTGGGGGAGAATTGTAACGCCCTGTTCCTGGTACACATTTTTAATTATTATTCTTCTTGTTTTAGAAGCTACTCGACGAGTCTGTAGCCCTAACTCGTCGAGTAGCAGCGGGTCTGCACGTGGATTGAGCGTGGCGACTCGACGAGTCTGTTATTCCCGACTCGGCGAGTCCGCCAGTCTGGATGAAACCCTAATTCTAAGGGTTTGTACCCTATTTAAACGTCCTTATAGCCCCATCCCAGCCCCAACACCTTTAAAACGTTCCCCCCTCGAAATCCTAACCCTCCATTGGTGATTTTGAGTGATTCCATCCTATTTTGAGTGATTTTTGTGCTTTCTTGAAGTGGTAGAGAAGAAGAAAGGAGAAAAGGTTCAAAGGAGAAGAAGTAGATCCAGAAGCTAGCCCTCTTTTGCTACACTTTCTGGTAATCAAGCTTAACACTTGACTTATAGTTCTATAGATCTCCTTTTTGTCACTTTTATGGAGTTTTGGATCCAACAAGCTTAATACTTAAGACCTGGTCGTCCCAAGTCGATTCACCTTCAGATCTAGGTTCTGGAATCGAGAACATGGCATGAGAATGCAAGCTTTATGGCCATGATAGCCCATGCACCCCTTTAGACCTCATTTTTGGGTCCTTTAAGCATATACCCCCATGCATGCACGTAAAGTTCGTAACTTTACGTGCTAGATCGATCTTCGAAGCCCAAATCTACCTTTTGGATAAGTGTTGTACGCCAGAAATCGAAATATAAGGCATGTACATTATCGACTCGGCGAGTCGTTCTTGGGACTCGGCGAGTCCAGGGTATTGAGTCCCCTTTCTGTTGTGGTTCAAAGGAACCCCAATTGAGTATTAGCAAGGTCGGACAGGTCTTGAGGAGTGTTTCGATGTATTAAGATATAGCCATAATCTAGGAATCATGGGACTCGACGAGTGCAAGAACACACTCGGCGAGTCCAAGACAATCTCCTTACCCGCAAGAACAGACTCGGCGAGTTGTTCATACAACTCGGCGAGTCGTAGACCAGACGTGTTCATATGATGAAGGAGAACTCGACGAGTTGTTTATACAACTCGGCGAGTCAGATGAAGGATGACTCGATGTTATCATAGAAGGAGAACTCGTCGAGTCTTTGCTAAACTCGACAAGTAGAGTCGGGTTGAGAAATAGAAGAAAGGATAGGGACTCGGCGAGTTGGTGGCCCAACTCGGCGAGTCGGGTCAATTAGAAGCTGACTTTGACCAGGATGTTGACTTTGGCCAGGGGTAAAATAGTCACCATACCCTAAGATTAGTAATCAGTGTTTGATTAAGTGTCTTTATGGGAATTGTAGCCGGAGAGTTACCGGAGCAGCAGCCAGACATTTCCTGCCCAACACTCTAGCAGTCAGCTTTACGAGGTGAGTTTCCTTCCAGTAGGAACGGCTCTACGGCCACAATGCCGGCCCGTTTAGATGATAGTAGTTTTGGACCTTGGTCCGATGTCGGGCGGGGCCCGATGTAGTAGTATGTATGCTTGATGTGTTCGTGATTCATGCATGATTGTGATATGTGTTATATGATTCGAACTTCGGTCCGATGCAATATGTGATTATGCTATATGTCCTTGTTATGTTATGTTCAGGTCATTCCGGACTTCGGTCTGATGCCGGGCGGGGCCCGATGCAGTGGGCGGGGCCCAGGTTATTCCAGACTTTGGTCCGATGCCGGGCGGGGCCCAAGTTATTCCGGACTTCAGTCCGATGCCGGGCGGGGCCCGATGCAGTGGGCAAGGCCCAATATTTATTATATGTGTTATTGTATGGTATGTGGTAGTTTGGGGGAGCTCACTAAGCTTCGTGCTTACAGTTTCAGTTTTGGTTTCAGGTACTTCAGCTAGCAAAGGGAAGGGCTCGGGTTGATCGCATGGCACACACTACAGTCACCGCCTGGGAGTTCACTCTGATGATTTGATTTTGATTTGAAAACAGATACTTTGATGTTTTATGATACATGATTATGGTTTTGCTTACGGTTTTGGATGGTGGGTGGTTTTAATAATGTTTGAGAAACGAAATTTTTAGGTTGTATTTTTTGGATGTTTCACCAACTCTCTAGAAAAACATTTATACCTAGTCGTTACTCTGCCAAGCTCTCATAGATAATATTTTACACTATGTCGTCACTCCGCTCGACTAAAAATAGTAGTCTATTATGCCGACGCTACTCTCGACTCAAACGGATAATAGTAGTCTATTATGCCGTCACTCCGCTCGACTCAAACATATAATAGTAGTCGTTTATATCGCCACCATGCTCATTTCAAACGGATAATTGTATATTATGCTATCGCTACGCTTGACTCAAATGGATAATAATAGTCTATCATGTCGTCACTACGCTCAATTCAAACGGATAATTGTATATTATGCCGTCACTACGCTCGGCTCAAACGGATAATAGTAGTCCGTTATGTCGTCGCTACGCTCAACTCAAACGGATAATTTTAGTCTATTATGCCGTCGCCACGCTCGATTCAAACGTGTGACATCCTCTAATTTTCAGAACCAATTAAAACTTTTCTTCACGTTTTTTCTTAAAATAATTTATTTACATTTGCGGAAAATCCCAGTACAAATGATCATTTTGTTACAAATGTTTGTTTCCAAAATGTTAAAACCATAAGGCTGTCATAATCAATACATATACATAAGTTACAACATAAATACCCGATGGTCCTAAACACTAATGCATGTTGTCTCTTAATCACTCGTCATCCTAATCAAGTTTCAATAGCTTAAGTCTTGATACATGTGATGCATATAAACTGAGTGGGTCAGATTGGGAAACCTGGTGAGATATATAGGGATTTCAATCCCATAATATTGATATGATAATATTCCATAATTAACGCAAAACCATCCGTTACTATGCAATATCTATATAGGCTTAGGTGTTATTTGTTTTTTTTAAACCTCTTTATACCTCTTTTTGCTGCGCTGCGCAACACACAAGCAACACTTGCCCTCTTGCAACAGTTTGAGTT